AGGGTGACAGTCTTTTATGGGAGTCCAGGGGAGACTCCAGGTCCAGCTAGTAGAAGCCACTTTCATGCTTGTGTTTGCGGTCCTCTCTCCCTGCATTTTTAAAACAGATAGTGCATTCCTCTGGGGCTTTCTCCTATAGTCACATATTCCTCTTCCACTTCTAAGGACCCCAGGGTGACCCTGGCCATTCCTGGCTAATGCAAGATCATATTGCATCTCCAGGTCAACTAGTTTGCAACCTTCATTCTTTCTGCAAACTTAATTCCCCTTGACATGTGACATAATGTGTTTTTAGGTTCTGGGGATGAAATAATGAGTTTCTTTGTAGGGCATGATTCTCACCACAGAGAGCCACAAGCCACTGTAAGATCTAAGATTTTCTTATGCTCTAACAATCATTTTCACTCTATTGAGCACAGTCACCTCTTCTGACAATGTGTCCTCTAGGGAGTCCATCTCTTTTTCTATTCATCTTTGGATTTCCAGACCAATGACCAACACTCCTCCAAAAAGAGTTCTTAATTGACTATAAAATTTTACTAGATACACAAGACTATCTTAATGCATGCTTTTAAAAATAGAATCAAAAACATATATTTTTCAATGTAGAAAATCTCATTGTTGACCTAGTACACAATTGCTCACATTAAAAGCATTTTATCTATCTAGTCGTATCAGAGGCATATAATGGTGTCAGATAAAGGTTTTCTTTCTGTGGACTCATTAGAAATACCAGAAACAAAATTTTAGGCTGGAGAAAAGTGATATATACTTAATGTGGGTTTTTTTAGGTTTTTCAGTGATTCTGTCTCTCGAGTTCACTTTGCTATAAATAAACTATCTCTGGGATTTCTTCTAAATTATGGAATATAGAAACCACCGTTAAAATATGCAGTCTCTAGGGAAATAATCTGCCCCATTGTTTCCTTTTTTTTCACTGCAGGTATTGGTGAGAGAAGTCTGAACTTTTGGGCCTGGAGGGTATTTCTACTGAAGCCATTTTTTCTACTAAAAAAAGGCCTTAAGCCAAATAATCAGGTTTCTGTTCTCTCTGTTACATCAATTAACAGCACCTGAAAATCCAAGTCCATTTAATTTTCTTGAAATGGAAACCTAGGGAAAACTCCTCTTTTTCAAAGGAAACTTTGTAAAATTGTCACCATTATCAAAGATGATGGTCCTTGGGATGGCCGAAACAAATGTAGAATGATGGTGTCCAGAAAATAGGGCAACCTTAAAGCACATTAAGATAACTATTTGGAAGGAAGGTACTGATTCTATGTATTAAAAATAAAATCAGTTGCACTAGTTGAAGAGTTCTTTCAAAGATAAAGTATCTTTATTTTGTTCTCTGTCATTTTAAAGTCAGATTATTTACTAGTTCCCCTTCCTATAAGATGTTTTATGAAGAAGGAATAATTTTATCAAGCAAGGAATCCAATTATTAATTCTGCATCTGATTAATTATGTTTTCAATAAGGCTGGTTTGGCCATCTCTGGAAGTCCAGCCTTCTGTCTATCTAACATGGACCCTACCTAAGCTCTGTGGATGCCACAGGTGCCAGGCACTGCCTTCTTCCAGCCTCATGGTGCCCACAGACCACTCAAAATATAAACCACCCTATCTCATTCCCTACTGAGTCATCTCTGATACTGAACTAACAAGTTATCAAACCAATACACTAAACCCTTTTCCCCAAAACATCAGACCTCTCCTCACAACCCACCCCCCACCACACCCTACTGCAAGTCGGAGTTGCTGGTCCTCTCTGGACTCTTGGTGTGATGCTGCAGCCCTCCAAAGCCAGGGAGAGTGGGGGTGAGATGAAAGAAAGAAGATATCAAGACTATTCTTGAAAATTGGGACCAGGTGGAACCATAGCTTGTCAGGACCTAATGACTGCCTGGAGTCCTGCACACTCTTTATTTATAGTGTAAGACAAACAGGGACAGAAGGCTGGGTAAATAGTGCTATGTGGCCTAGGCTGAATGTAGTGTGATTGTCTTGTGATCAGGGAATGCACAGAAAGGGAACAAGGAAGAAAGATCCATAATGTAACTGTCTCCTGGGGCTGTGCCATCCAGGGTCTACAGTTTAGTCTATGGAGGAGAAAGGGAATAGGGAGGAGGCAAAGTACCATCTTGAGGCTTGGCTCCTTGGCAGTGTCTTCCCCTACTCTTGCCAGTAAACAGAGGGCTCCTCTCAAAGTAAGACTGGCATATCTTCCAATAGTTTCTCATCTCACGCAGAGTAATGGGTAAAGTTATTATCTTGCCTACCATGTTCTTCCCTATCTGCCAGCCAGCCTTCTTTCAGACATCGTTTCCAGCCATTCTTTGCTTTCTCTGTGGTGCTCCAACTACGCAGGTATCCTCAGTTTCATATAGGTAGATATGTAGATGATAGATAGATAGGTAGATAGATGATAGGTAGATAGGGCTCATTCACTCACTTCACACAGAACTTTGTTTGCTTTATTTATAATGATAATACTTCTGAATCCTTCTCTTGTTTTGTCTGGCTTTATTTTTTTCCTTGTAGGACGTATCACTCTATACTGTGTAATTTCAGTGGTACCTCAGTTCATAAACTTAATTCATTCCATGATTCTGGAGAAGATGGTCTCATTCATGTTCATCACCTGATGCAGAGTTCCCAAACAGAAGCAAAACTTTGCCAAACACTTCTGTTTGTGAGCTGAAGTGTTTGCGAACAGAAGTGTTCATGAACCGAGACATTACTGTATATTTGTTCATAAGCTTTGTGTCTCCCCTCACTGTAATAAAAACACCATTACACTCTTTAATTACTGCTGTATGTCCAGAACTCAGAACTCTGCCCAGCACACATAGCTTAGGATGTATTCTTTATTTAGCAAACATTTGCCCTGCGTTATGGTTTAAACGTGAGGTGTCCCCAAAGACACATGTACTGAAGGCGTGATCCTCAATGCAGCGTTCAGAGGTAGAACCTACAGAGGTGCATGGATCACAACTGCCACGTCACAATGGGTTCATCCATTGATAAGTTCCTAACTGACTGCGTGGTTAGCAGGCAGGGTTCACTTGGAGGAAGTAGGTCCCTGGCAGCATGCCCTTTGAGGGTATATCTTGTCCTCATCCCCTTACTTTCATATGACTCTTTGCCTCCTGGCTGCCACAAAATGAGTAGCTTTCCTTCACCATTCCTTTCCACCATGATGCCCCTGCCTCATCACAGGTCTACAAGGAATGGAGCTGCCTACCACGACATGAAACCACTGAAACCGTGAAACAAAATCAGTCTTGCCTTCCATCACCTGTTTATGTCAAGCCTTTCACCCCCAGGGATGAAAGGTTAATACAGTGCACATCTCATATGTGGACAACACAGGTTTGACTCTAATCCAAGAGTGATTCGGCAGGGGAATGAATGTCTAGGGTATGGCAAGGAAGAGAAAATGCTAATACAACCAAAGTCAGATAACTTGAGTCCAAGCTAAGCAACTTAACAGCTTTGTAACTACATGTAATGATTTTACTCTCTTGGATTGAATAGAATCACCAGTAAAGTTGAGGATAATAACATTGCCACATCAAATCAATGCAAATATGAAATGAAATAATGTATATGAAAGTCCTTAGTTTGGTGCCTAGAAAGCAGAGACAGATCAAAATATGTCAGATTAGAAAAAAAGAAGAGAAATGAAGACAATGGTGGCTTTGCTACAGGATGCCTCAAATGTTCCTTTATTGTAGGGCCCTTTTTAGAATTTACTTATAGGGTAGGGTACTGAATTCCATTTTATCTTCTGTAATTTTTTGTACCAGAAGGAAAGGAAAATCTTACTCATTTTATGAGCTCTGGCTGAGTCCATCATTTGCAACTCCACTGTAGAATATGTAGAAATAAAAAAAACAGAGCAACAGAATTAGTCCTTATTGAAAGAAGTGAAATGATTCAAAAATATCTAAAATTCTCAGATCAGGCTTGTAATCTTCTTGGGAAAGCCGGGTTACTGAAATGAAGACTTGGTCAAATTTAAGGTCATCTGAATTCCTCATACATGTATAAATGTAGTTCTCCATTTTTCTATGCAGCAAGCATGTTTTTTGCCTAAAAGGCAGGGGACACTTGAAGGAAAAGTTACTGTGTATTTGAAAGAGCCATTGCTGATGGTTCAGAATGCCACCTGGGTAAAAATATTCATTTCCAGCATGCTGGTAAAGAAGAGATGACTACATGACAAAAAAATTAAAGCTGGATTGTAGGAGGAAATGTCAAAACTCAATTTTTCCAAACTTTCAAGCAATATTAGGATATGGGACTTCTGGGTGAATTTTCATAAGAGATTGAGCATTTACAAAACTGTCAAATGAACAGGTGTGTGTGGGTAGGGAATTAAGTTAGGTTTAGGTGGGAGTAAAGTAAGAAAGAAGTAAAATTGACGTGAGTGAAGGAAACCAGAAGCAAGAGAGTACAAGTACAGCATTACTCACCAGAAGAAACGAATTCTGTTATCAAGCTTAAAAGGATTGGGTAATTGAATGTCTTAGTTCAGGTGCTGCAAGAAGCACTATAGACTGGGAGGCTCCAATGATAAACCTATCTCTCGAGTTCTGGAGGCAGGAAGTCTGGGATTAAGTATCAGCATGGTTGGGTTCTTTTAAGGCCTCTTCTGGATTGCTGATGCCCAAATTGTTGCTGTGTGGCAACATGGCAGGGAAAGAGCTTCTCTGCCTAGGGTTCTTCTCATAGGACACTAATCCCACACAGAAGGGGTCCTCCCTCATGAATAAATTACCTTCCAGTGGCCCAACCTCCAAATACCATCACCATAGGGATTAGGATCACCATATTCATTTGAGGGGGACAACAAACATCCAGTTAATATATATTAAGATGAGGAATTCTTGCTTCATTCTGAGAGTTGGTAAACACAGGAGTAATTGGCCACTGAAAACAGACTCAGGTGACAACTTTGCTAGGAAACCTCCTCAAGCTAGTGAAAATCAGCATCACCTGGACGCGAACCCGTGGTTTCTGTCTTGGTGTTCGGTGCTGTTTCAATCCTGTAGCTGATCGGGGGATTAGAGAGGTAAGTCTGTTGAGAAACTGTTGAACCCAAAGAATTTTTGTGCTCAAAATGGTGATATCTGTTGTTAAGATGAGTTGGTGGATGGAAACAGCTGGTTTTTCCCTCTGTGAGTATAATTGCAGGTTGTGAAAGTAATTTATTAACAGGAAAGGTGTAAACTACTACCAAGGTTAGGGTGGGGGTTGGGTTTTTCATTCCCAGTATTGCACTGGCTCAAGTTCCATCCCCACTAGCACCGGCTGGAACATTTTATTTCAGTGTGATTGTTGGTTTAAATACAAGAAATATTTCAACTTCTTCACAATCCCAAATGTTTAAAGTTTTCAGGGCTGTGTAGCTTGGAAGCCAATTTTCTGAATCTTTTCGTATCAGCTTCCTCTGATACCACATGCAGCTCAGAACATAGGAGTATCAAAGTTCATGCCTTTGCCATAAATTTCACAAGTAACATCTTGGAGTAACACCTGTTGCTTTTTTATTTTTAAATAGAGACTTCTTTTAGGAGATATGAGCCTCAGTAGGTATCACGGAAATAGGTCTGGCTGTCTGATCAAGACTGAAAATGGAAGGTCCAGTGTTAAATGGACATTTACGTTTTTATAGAAAATAGTTTGAAAATAGCCTTTAAAGGTCCTTGGTATAAACCCTATGAGGTATCTTATTAGAAAGGAAGAATGCACACTTACTGTCTGTCTTAATTCACACAGCTAGTCAATAGTTTCTTAGCAGGTGTATGTGTGGGGAGGTTGAGAAAATGATTCAGGCTAATAATATATTTCTTGCTTTATTATTTCATGACATCGATAGATAAGATTTACAGAAATTGCACTTAATATATATGAATACATATATTTACTTACCTTATTGAAAATTAAATTCTGATGTTAATCCATTTATATGGAAGAATTCTGTGCCCTTAGAACTTTAAAGTCACTTAAAAATCTTAAATGTTCTATGGCTTTTATATCAGATTATAGTGTAAAATAGTATCTATATTTGCAAATACCTATATTTAAAATGAACAATTTAAACTATTATATTAGAAGTATATATTTCTGAGGAAAGTAATATAAAATACATTGTACGTAATTTGCATAGGTACCGTTAGAACTCTCCAAACTTTGATATTAACAAACGGCTATTTCCTTTTATGGTTCCTCTTGTTTTATTGTTGTTGTTTTTGAGACAAGGTCTTGCTGTATAGCCCAGGCCAGCTTTCGACTTGCTTTGTAGCCCAGGCTGGCCTTGAACTTTGCTATCCTCCTGCTCAGCTTGCTTAGTGCTGGGATTACAGCTATGTGCCATGACACCCAGCTGTGCTGGTTAATCTCTGTGGTAAACTTGATTGGCTTGCGAGACACCTAGGAGATTAGTAAAGCACACAGAGGGTGTCACTGGGTGAATCATAGGGGGTGATCTTTTGGGGCTCTGTCTGATCCTTGGCCCCTTCCTCTAGGGCTCTTCTTCCCTCTCTGCTTCCTGGATGCCAGAAATAGAGACGCTTCCATCCCCAAGCTCTTCGACCATGATATTTCCACCATGGAGACAGCTAGCTGTTCATGGACTGAAACCTGTGAAACCATGAGCCAAAATAGACCACATTTCCTTTAAGTTACCAGGCTCATATATTTTGTCCTCACAACAGAAAGCTGACCAATACATTAAAAAAATTTTAAACTCAAGACATTTAACTGTATCATGAAAGCATGAACTTTATTTTGAGCTGTAATATTTAAAAATAACTTCCAAAGAAAACATAACTCTTACTTATAACTTATTATTTTAATTTGTCTTTTTATACTTATATATCCATAAAGTACTGAGCTTTGCCTTTCAACAGCCATGGAGAGAATGCTCATGCAAAATTATAAGGATATCTTTAAAGCATGGGTCTGTTTCCTCAGTTTGGAGATACATGATTCTCAATAAATTGCATCCATTTTACATTTATGTCTTTGAAGTCATAAGTAACTAGGAGGGGTCTTAAATTTTTTTCTCCCTTGCCTTTTTCTTTCAAAAGAGTTCACTCATTTAAAAATTATCACATTTTTTATCAGGCACATATATAAAACTCTTACCCATGATAAAAATGTATATACTTTGGAGCAGTATTTTAATTTTAGATATCTGTGCCTAACTTCCCACAGAGATTTTGCTGAGACAAAAACACCAAGGACATGCAGACCGTATTTAATGAAGTGGTCCTGTGGTCTCTGAAGCACCTCTTCAGGGAAATACACACATACCATCACATCCTCATCTCCTCTGAGATGTGTTCTGAATCCTTCTGTTTGAGGCCACTTTCCCGGTGGCACATACAAGGCACATTCACAGTGATGAAAAGAAAATTGGTGGTTTTGCTTTTCTCCTGATCCTGTATCAGCTCATTTAAAAAATCATTTTTATATCTTTTATTACACTTTCGTTCATTTTAAAACTATACTTTTATCTTAGCAGTGCCCTCCAGGCAGTTCTTACAAAGAATTAAAGTAATCCGCAGTCACGTGTTTGAGGGACTTCCCTTCCCAGCCTGTCATGTGCTGTTTTATCCATTTCAGTTCCTTCAATTAAACGTCATATCAGAAAATTCTGGAATTCAGATTGGTCTGGCTGAAGTTATAATTTTATTGGGCGAGAATCCCCTCGAAACTCTAAAGAGTGGAAGGTTTTGTTTGCCAGCTAACTCATGATGGTGACAAAATAAAAGCGGGGAGGAGGGAAGGGAAAAAAATTGAAAAATGTGTTATGCATATGTACCAATTCCCTACAGTGAGTGTAATCATTATGTGCTGCAAACACATACATACTAATAAAAGTAAAAAGAAATAAGTCCAAAGGAAAGAGTAATAAGTCCAATATGACAAAGTGTTAGGAACTGATGAATCTGGACAGTGTATGGATTTTCATTGTCTTATTCTTACAACTTTCCTGTAAGTTTAGAATTCCTCAAAATAGAAAGTTGAGGAGAAAGCACCAACACAAGCTTCTAATTCAAAATATCCTTGCAACAAGAAGAAAAGTAATGGGTCATTTGTCCAAATTTGTGATTGCTTTTTTCCTATGTTAATCAAGGTGGATTAATCCATGAGTCTGTATTAATCTATGCAGAGGACCATCCATTAACTTAATTTATTAGTTTTATTCCTTTCCACTTCATCCCATAACAGGATAGTAAACTAGAGCTAGATTAGTTGAAGTCTTTGTATTTGAATATTTAGGAAGTGGTACTCTGAGCACTTTCAATTAAACAAAATACTTTTGGGAGTGTAAAATCTGATTTTTTACTAATGGACAAGTAATTTAAGGTGTTGTAGATTCAAATTTTATGTCCTCTACCATGTCATTTAAATGGATGTCTTCTAAAGCAATATTTCACTTTTTAACTGCCTGGAGGATGATTGAGAAAGAAAGGAAAATGGGAAAATATTGTTCTGAGACTCAGTTCAAAATAATGTGCTTGTTTTTTTTTTCTTCTTTCAGTTCAAATTCTGGATTCTGATGCAATATCCCAAAAATACCTGAGCTCTACATTATAGCTCAAAGGCACAGCAATTGCAAAGCTCGATAGGGCCATCTTCCTGCTCATAAACAAGACTGTTTGGGGTTTTTTGCATTATAAATCACACACAACACAAAATAAATAGTCCATAAACTTGGTAAGTAAATTTTAAAAAGTGTTGAAGGGAAAGTAGACTTTCAAAACTTTGGAAACTGGTGCAGTGCTCAGAACAAGTGAGAGCAGGGTGCTTCACAGGCTAGCATCTCCCTGTTGCTGCAGGGTGGGAACAGGGACTCCAAGGACTAGGGTATCATCTTTGACTCCCTGTCTCCAACCTGGTGCATTCTCAGGGCTCCCAAGTCACTTGGCAGTCTCTCTTCCCTGGCAGGAAAATCTGGGTCACTCATCTAAAGCCCTTCAGCTCCGTGCAGAACGTTAATGTACCCATTGGGGCGCTGTTGCAGCCTCTCCAAGCTCATAGGCTTACAGTGTGGCCGCCATTACTTGCTCCCAGGGCCATGGCTCCTTGGCTGTTCGTGTTGATGGAGCCGGGCTCTCATTGCTAGGGTGATAAATTGTTTATTGAATTTCCCAATATGATGCCCTTGTTTCTCTTGGATTTTGTTGTTTCTGTTTTTCGATTTTTTGTAATTGCTCTAGGTCCGACCCCCCCTCCATCCCATATCTTCAACTAGGATTTTGATTTATTTTACTCCCTGTTTTGAGACGCTTCATACCAGATCTTATGGTCAGGATCTCTGGACAACTTGAGTGGCTGAAACGTGATCTTTCCCAGCATTTTCCCCCTGCTAATAATGAATCTTCCACCTAGGATGGGTTCAAATGTTTAACTCTCCTTCACCGTAAGTCACTTTGGCACCACTAACTATCAAGTTCCTGGGACTCAATAATTATTTCCCTTACTCCTTATTTTTCTGAGGAAGCTATCAGGAGTCCTTGGAACAAAAAGCCCCGGGTTGTCTAATGGTAGCACTTAGTAAGTGGATAACCTTTTAAGAACTCTCAAGAGCAGCACAGGAAAAGTGCCATGATAATTGTTCTTTTGAAAGGACAGAACTCTCAGGGATATATAAAATAATGGACTTAAGATGAATGTTCTAAGAGATAAGAAAAAATCTTCTGTTAGGGACACCTTCTGCAAAACACTAGAAGTTAAACTTGGTCCCTCGCCTTCGCTACTGACTTTAGGAAAACATGTTTGTGTGTGTATATATATATATATCCCAGTGATTTTTTTTTCTTTCACCCATCAGTTTTGGGGATGATATCATGCTGATAGTGAAGATTCTGTCATATAGAAGGACAAGTTTCCCTAAGAGGAATGAATTGCCTATCAGAATCAAAGTGCCTTGGATAATTAGAATTTTAAGAACATCAAGAACCATAAACTATAATAGAATTAAACAGAAACTTCAATGGATAGTATTCAGCTTGTTTAATCTCTAAATAATACATAAAAACATAATTACTTAAAATTAAGATTTGCAACCATGTTTGTTCATGTGTGAGGGGAAGAAACCCACTAGTCCCTCTATAGTGTTTCAGTTGGGTTTCTGAAAAAGCACTTGAAATGCATTATTCCCATGAGCAGGGAAAAAATAGGTGAATGCATCCATCTTTATGCTCATGTCTTTTCCCGCTGTTCTTTTGGACTGATTGTTTTTTCTTATTGTTCCATAAATGCGCATATATTGTGGATCTCTGGTATTCACCATAATTATCAGACGTAACTATTTCTTTTAAGTTTTTGTGGTGATTTATTACACAGCAATAAATAATACAACTACTGTACTAATATCACTATTTTACAAGTGAACAAAATGAGGCACAAAATGATAGCATCATGTCTAATATCACAATAATAATAAAATAGTAAAAGAAAACAATGACAGGTAAGGATGAATATTTTCCAACATTCATGACATTATTCTCTCATTGGGATCTGATGAAGATAAACAATGTTTTAATGATGAAAGAAGGCTTTTAAAGCAACACGTTCTTTCTCCAATATAAAATTTCTTATTCTTAGTTGTAAGCATGAAACAAATTTTCTCAAAAATGGATTTGATAGTGTTTTGTAACACAATGTACATCTGAAGGCTTTTCTGTATTAAATTCCATTATGAATCTTTTGATGTTGAGTAAGGTGTGAATGCTGTCTAAAGGGCTTCTTACATTCCTTACATTTGTAGAGATTTTCACCAATATGAATTCTCTGGTGTTGAGTAAGAAATGAATAAAGTCTAAAAGCCTTCCCACATTCCTTACATTCATAAGGTTTATCCCCAGCGTGTATACTCTGATGCTTTGTAAGTTGTGAGAGCAGTCTGAAAGGTTTTCTACATTCCTTACATTCATAAGGTTTCTCCCCAGTGTGAATACTCTGATGTTGAGTAAGCTGTGAGAGCAGTCTGAAGGCTTTCCCACATTCTTCACATTCATACGGTCTCTCACCAATATGAGTGCTCTGATGTGAAATAAGTTGTGAATAACTACTAAAGGTCTTCCAGCATTCCATACATTCATAGGGCTTCTCACGAGCATGAGTTCTCTGATGGCGAACAAGCTCTTGTCTTAATCTGAAAGTCTTCCCACATTCCTTACAATCAAAGAGTTTCTCACCAGTAGGAATACTCTGATGGACAGTAAGCTGTTGGCATATTCTAAAAGCCTTTCCACATTCCTTACATGCGTAGGGTTTCTCACCAAAATGAATTTTCTGATGTACTCTAAGGTCTGGGCCAATACAAAGGCCTTCCCACATTCCTTACATTCATAGAGCTCCTCAGAAGTATGAAGTCTCTGGTGTTGAATAAGGTGTGTACACTGTCTAAAGGTCTTCCCACAGTCCTTACACTCATAGGGCTTCTCACCAGTGTGGATTCTCTGATGCTGAGCCAGCTGCTGATGCACTCTAAAAGCCTTTCCACATTCCTTGCATTCATAAGGATCAAACTCGGGACCTTGCGCTTGTGAAGCAGGCGCTGGAACCACTGAGCTAAATCCCCGGCCCCATGTGACTATTTTGTAAGTGTAGCATAAAACTATACTTTGAAGACTATAAAATATAAAGTTATGTTTAATAATAATTTTCATATTTATCACCTGTTAACTTTATTCCTGCCTCAGCCTCTCAAAGTGCCAAATTTACAGCCACCATACATGGCTGCTGATACTATTTTTAATATATTGGGTTAAATAAAACATATTAAGATTCTTTTTATGTTTCATTTTATCTTTTTAAGTGTTACTTTTAGAAACTTTAAAATTTCATATGTAGTTCCACCATATTTCTCTTTGACAGTGCTGCTATTCTACCTATATATCAAACTTTAGTTGGTAGTAAATCTCTTTTAAAACTTTTAAAAAATTGTTTTATGGTTTGTCTTTTCGCACTCTTTTTTGATGAGTTTTGATGAGCAGAAGAGACTGCTCTGACTGCAAATACAAATATAGAGATTGGAGAGGGACCAAGGAGAGAAATCAGTTAGTCCTACATCCTTAGAAAAATTGTTGGACTAGATTGGTGAGGAATACAATAGAAGTGGTCAAGGATGACCTACTAGTTCCCAGTTGCATCATGGTGCCATTTACTGTGGTAAACGTGTTATGATTTGTATCTGTCTTGTATGTTCAGTCCTGGAACTTTCCAAAGGTGAGTGGATCATGTGAACTCTGACCTCATCAGTGTATTAAGTCATTGATCAGATAATATCTCAATAGCATTATGAGAAGGTAATGAAAACTGGAAGTGGGGCCTCATTGAGTGGATCATGTTGGAATGACCTTGGGGACTTTATCTGGTCCCTAGCACCTTACTCTCCTGCTCTTCCTCTGTCCTCAGTTTCTCAGATGCCATGAGCGGTAGGATTCCTCCTCCATGTCTTTCTGCCATTATGTTTCTGCCTTGGAGCCAGGGGAAAATGGACTGCAACCTCTGAAATGGTGAGTCAAGTAATCCTTTTCTGGCTTACACTGTTTATCTAGGTATTTAAAAATCTGACAGACCTAGGAAGAGCAGGTTTAGAGGTGGAATCGAAGTCTTCAATATTTGACCTTCCAAGAGGAGTTATAAACTAGAGCAATGAATTGGGAGTGCTTGTATTTCAAATTCCCCTTACAGAAGTGATTGAACCTTGCATCCATTAACTAATGTTGAATACATAGCAACCATAACATCTCTGTGGTAAGTGCTATAAGTATTTACTTCTCATGCATTTGTGACACTGTGCACAATCAGCTTATTTGGCCTGGCCTTAGCCTCTCTGTACAGATTGAGCTCTGAAGTGTTCCATGTGTGTTTATTGTACATTTCCTGCTGAAGGTATAGGAACTTCTCTGTAGAGCAATTGTGAATTCTCCTGCAAGCATGGGATGCTCATGTATAAGCAAGCATTACATCATCAACCCTACTAAACTGCCCACAGTTACTTTTCGCATATTATGTACATTGGTTAGAGCAAGTCAATAGTCAAACCTGATGTCAATGGAATGGGCAGTAAACTCTGCCCACTATAGTAACTGATATTTTCCATAGTTTGGATCTTAAATGCTTCCCAAAGGACCATATAGTAAAGGCTTAGTCACTAGCTTGGCCCAGTGGAAGGTGTTGCAATCTTCGATCAAATGGAAGATCTTCCAGGTACTGTCAAAGTGCTCCAGAGTACCTAGTGGGACTCTGATCTCTTTATTTTTCTTTCTCTTTTACTGGTGGCCACTATGAAGTGATTAGTTTTGCTCCCTCATGTGATTGCTACCGTGGTGTGCTGCCTCACCACAGCTCCAAAAGCAATGGTGCTAACTAACCATGGTCTGAACCCTCCAAAACTGTGAGCCAAGTAAGCTTCTTTTCCTTATAAGTTGACTTATCTCAGGTATTTGTCACAGTAATGGAAAGCTGACTAACAGAATGGTAAAAAGACAAGAGACACAGGTTGTGGATATATAAGACATGAAGAAAGATGAAAAAAGAATTATAAACAATAATTCAATTCATCACAAGTCTTAATATTAAGGTAAAAAGATAAAAACAAGAGCTTTAAAATTATTTGTTAGAAAGATTCCCAGAAGTTGCTACATATTTCTAAGAGATATTGTAGTCTGATAGTGTGTTAGTATGACTCTAGATGTGAAGAACTAAATTGAGAATATATTAATAATTAAGAGATGAGCTTAAAGGGTAACTGATGCTTCTTGCATTCTACTTTTCTTACCAATTTATTATGAGCTTGACTAAGGAGATAAGCAGAATGAATCTTTGGGAATGTACAGTTTGCACAACAATAAACAATTTTGCAATTAGAGGGATATGCTTTGATATTCTATAGTGCTATTAGTTTTCTGAACTTTTTCAAGTTTTTTATCTTTTCTGAGGCTTAGTTTATTCATTTGTAAAAATAGAAATATATGATTTACAGAGCTGTCACATGTATTAAAGTGAAACATGTATAAAACTTTCAAATATTTGCCATTCAAATATCTTTTACTTCTTCCCCCGATCCTATCAGTACTCTTTTTCTGTAACACTTTATTGTCTATACTTATTTATTCCATCTTTCTCTTCAGTCCTTTCAAACTACAACCCCCTTGACCATTGATAAATTGTTTGTAATTCCAATTCTTCATACAATGCTTAACACATAGTAGGACTTCAAGAAGATTTTCTTTATCCTATTGAATTTATGCTTTCCTTCTTTGTTGAAGAAATTAGCCTAATCTATAGAGACAGAAACATGTCCATGGTTTCCCCAGGGCTAGAGACAGCAACAGAAATTGTCTGCAGATTGACACAAGGGTCCTTTTTCTGGATTAAGGGAAATTTTGTAAAATTGGATTGTTGTGATAGTTGTGCAATTCAAATTTACCATAGAACTCATTAAATTGTACACTTACAATGGACAAACTTATGATTTGTAAATTAGGAAGCTGTTAAAATTAGCTGAGGAGTTGTTGTGAGCTACTAGGCCAGTCCTTTCTCTTTTGCAGCCATGGCCTAGGTCTTGGAATAAGGTAAAGTAAAACAAATATTTGGCTGGTGATTGGGAGAGTTTGTTATGCACGTGCTGTCCCATCCCATGTCAGTAGTATGTTTCATCTATTGGACGATTCTTTCCACTACCCACTATTTAGCCCTCCTGCAGGTTGATCGTATTTGTTCATAAATACAATCTTCCTGTCTTTGTTCATAATATTTATTTTGAAAATCATTGCCCAAATAAAATAGTTTCATTATTTTTCTTTTGATATGTGACAGCTAAATAAGATTCTGCTTGACCACAAAACTAGTCCTACTTTCTTCCCTTCCTTCCTTACAATCATGAGTCTACTGTGATAATTCTGCTCTAACCTTTATATTTTTATATTTAAAAAGCTATAAGCACTTCTTTGTTTTGTGTTTGTATTTTAGTGCATGGTATTATACTTAACCATTCTTTTTGTATTTTTTCTACAAAGCATAACTTTTGGAATTCTGATCATGGTTATACATAGTTTTTTTCCCCCAGATAACGGGATATATTTCATTTCTTCCACCTGCTGTGTGCAATTTATTGCATGAATGCACTATGCTTTATTTATCCTATTACTGACTAACATTTACATGGTTTTAGCATTTTGTTGCTAAAAAAATACTGCAGTGGACACCATGCAAGATGCAAATTTTTCTCCAGGAAACATATCAAGGAGTGAAATGACACGATAGCACAGTATCTCCACTTGCAGATTTTCTAGATCTGGTCCAATTATTTTTCAAAACATATGCTAGGTTATGCTAAGGTGTAATAAAGATTAAACCCAAAGATAATAGCCAACTAAAATTGCTCCTGGTCTATTACTTACTCATCACTGTGCAGTAAACCAGAAATCCAGATGCATGACCACTTGTGGTTCTGGTCTCCACAGCAGCCAGCTAGTGCTAGGGGAAGGAAAGGAAATGTACAAAAGGCAGACCTGCTTCTTAAAAGGTCTGTTTTTGAGGTGGTCTCCAGTGACTCCAACTAGTGAGAACTAGTTATTAGGCTGTGCCTTGCTGTAAGAAATCCTGAAATCTTAGTCAGTCCCTAGTGCAGCAGTTACCTCCCACATAAATATGTATGCTTTGGGAGAGAATAAAGGAGAGTTATCCATGCCTAGCTATTTCAATGTTTTATGTCAAATGTTAATCCCATCGATGTTTGGTACTGGAAAAATATAATTTCTTCCCATTTTATAGGTAAAATACCATCTCACTGGTGCATTTTGGACTTATCTGTCTCTTTTGTATAGCCCTGATTCTTAGTGAGTTGAGATATATGTTTTTGTCAAAAACTGTGTTGGTAAGATGAGCGTGGTGGTGCATGCCTGTAATTCCAGCACTCAGGGAGCTGAGGCAGGAGGATTGTCATGAGTTCAAGGCCAGCCTGAACTACATAGTGAGACTGTCTCAAAAACAAAACAAAACAAAACAGAAAGGGAAAAATATGAGGAAAGGAAAAAACAGAAACAAAGTCTTTATAAATAGGGAGGGGTGGAAGGGTTGAAGGGAGGGCAGGGCAATGGGGAAAAAATAACCAAGATATATCATGTAAAGATACGACTTCCCAACAATGAATGCCATCATAGTGTATACCTAAAATGTACCAATAAACTTAATGAATTCAAAAAAAGGAAATTACACAGGTTAATAAAAAAAAAGCAGAATGGAAAGATTGGTAAAAAAGATACTGATTAATTCTGAAATGACCAGATGGCAATGTTCACATTAAATGACATGATTAATCAGTGAAACCATAGCACAGTATCTGTGACCTTTGGACTCAAGCACATGATGAGAGTTTGTCTTCTTCATGGTATAACCAATGCTTTTCAGCATATGAGGCCCAGGAAGTAAAGTGATTAACATCCCATACGGTCGTTCCCTTTATCCACAATTTCACTTTCCACACTCAAACATAGTCCAAAATATTCTCTAGGAAATTTGGAGAAATAATTTGTAAGTTTTAAATTGCGTGCCATTCTGAGTAATGTGATGAAATCTTGCACCACGATATTCTGTCCTGCCCTGTATGTGAATCATCCCTTTGTCAGTGTATCCATATAGTATATGCTACCTTCCTGTCAGTCCCTTAGTGGCCGTCTCAGTCATCAGGTTCTCTGTCACAGTATCATGTGAGAGGTACTACTCACCTTACATAACTTGTTGTGGTATACTGTTACCATTGTTCTATTTTAGTATTAGCTGTTATTGTTAACATTTTACCATGCCTAATTTGTAAATTAGATTTTATCATATATGTGAAAAAGCACTGTATATACAGAGTTCTGTGAAATCTTTGTTTTCAGAAGCCCCCTAGGGATCTTGGAATGTTTTCCCATTGATAAAGAGTAAATATTGCTCGTGTGTTTGCTCCCGCTATTGTCTATTTTGTTTTGTTGAGATGGGGTCTTTCTATGTAGTTCAGGCTGGCTTTTAACTCTCTGTGTAGCCCAGGCTGGCCTTCAACTTACTGAGATCCTCCTGCCTCAGCTTCCTGAGTGCTGGGACTTTAGGCATGTGTCAAATGCTAATTATGTTGGTCTTCTCTAATATCTTGTGAGTCTGTTCAAGGTAAGAACTGTGTTATCTCAACTTTTGTAGTTTCAGCTCCTACCACAGATCTTGAACAGTGCTCAATGTATCATTTTAAAATAAAATAAATAAATAAAATACACTGAGTTGTCTTAATCAGTGTGAGCTGCTATAACAGAGTCCCACAGACTGGATGGTTTATAAACAGAAATTTCTCTCAGAATTCTGGGAGCTGAGAAGTTCAAGATGCAAATGCCAACAGAGTGGGTGTCTCGTGAGGGTCCTCTTTCTGGTTCACAGAGAGCCATCTTTTCAGTGTGACCACACACAGCGCAAGGTGAAGGAGCTCTCTGGGGTCTCTTCCACTGGTGTCCTCATGGAGTCTTCATCTTCATGATCC